ATGCTGGACAACTGGGTTGGATGTTGACGAATGCTCGTTTAGCAAATTATTACTTTGACGGTCAATCTTTTATAATAATTGTATTAATTTATACGTATATTGTAACTTCATGTATTATTGTACTACATGATCAACGCGTTAAGTTCACATTCAATATTATGAATCGAGTTCATTCATTCATACATACTTTCACGTTGATCAAATTAGTTGTTCATTATGACACACCTATTTCAATTCTAATTTAAAGCAGATTTTTTTACTTCAATCAATTGTCAACAGTTTTCCAATAACATGTTCCATCGATAGTTCGACGAATAACATGGAATTTAATGTAAAATTTAAATATACAATTTTTGACAAATCAATACATTCACCGCGACCATCTTTGGCAATTATTTTACAATCTTCGGTAATTGTACTTCAATTCGACTGGAATTGAAGAGAGTTGCAAGATAGAAACAAAGTAAGGAACGCGTGAAATTGAATTTGACGCGAATGCTCTCGCTTATCGTTCTGCCAGCGCAGAAGAGCCAGTGACACGTAGGTGAACCGGATATCGATGTCCCTTATAGGCGGCAGCCCTGGAACAGGAATTTCCTGGGCGATCCCCCCCGTAGGAATGCGGATCGTCGTTAGCGAAGACACGTTTCCCACCTTTTTACTCGTCGCTCGCGTTCCTGTATTCATTTACGAACCTCTCTGCATACCGGGCCAGCATCATCCAACATCCAACCATCTCACACATCGTCAATGCGATCTTTCCTCGCATCGTCGATTTACTATTGCTTTTGCCTGTCTTCTTGATTGTAACGTGATCGAGGAACGTTCGATTCTTGTTTCATTCCCGATTTTTTTAGTAATTTTACGGTAATTTCTAAGTGACAGCTTTCGAAGAGATAGTTCGTTACAAAAGACACAACTGAAATTCCGACGACAATCTTTAAACACAGAACATCCCCAATACTACAAGAAACTAATAAAATTCATTAGTTCGACTTCTGAATCTACATTATCAGACATAATATCATGATATTGGCTACGACGGTCGTACGTCATCGATAACAAAAATTAATTCGTCCCAACACTTAACCGTCCATCTCAACACTTTCCCGACGGGATGTTTGAAATGACAGTCACGTGTAAGAAGTATTATTTTTATATACATATGTGTCATGAACAATTGTATAATTTTTGTTAGTGTAGTAGTTACAATTTAATATGCTACGTCAATCAAACCCTGTTTAAACTGCTTAAAAGATACGACTGTTCTTGCCAAAGTTAATATTAATTTTAAGTTTAAGTTTAAACAAAACTATTTATTTTAATCACTTGTGCGTAGAATATTTTGATACGGTTCTTCTAGTGTCAACATTTTTGGACAATCAAACCCTGATCGATTTCGAACTAATTTCAGACTTTTGTTTTGTTTAAACTGCTTAAAAGATACGGCTGTTCTTGCCAAAGTTAATATTAATTTTAAGTTTAAGTTTAAACAAAACTATTTATTTTAATCACTTGTGCGTAGAATATTTTGACACGGTTCCTCTAGTGTCAACACTTTTTGGACAATCAAAAATCAAGTCTGTACGCGCGCATGCGCAGATCCGATGACCGCCGTGAAAGTGTTAAAACCCGACAGGCGACAAATAGAATCGGCCTGAATCGACGTATCGGAGACGCGTTCATTTGTGAGCGGAGCGCTACTTGTACGTGTCTACTAACAGGCGATGGACAGTGGACAGAGGTGAGAATCCATGTCGGTCAGCGTTCGGTCGGTTGCTGGCTCGCGCGCGTAAACAGATCGCTGTCGGGGGGCGAAGATCGCGTGAACGGTTTCTAGATGAGCGAGCAGTCGCGACCACTACCGGGTGTCGTGCTCGAAAACGGTCTCTGGTGTCGGAGTGCGGTCGGTGTGGCGCCTGCTCGTTTCGCGTTTCACGCCACCAGGCACCGATCCAACAAGAGAGACGATGATCCCGACGGGTTGACGCGCGGCGCGGCGAACGAGAGGAGACGAGAGGAGACGAGAGGTGACGAGAGGAGACGAGAAGACACGAGAGGAGAGGAGAGGCACTCTCGAGAGACGAGAGAGCAGGTGATAGGAAAAAAAACTGGCCGGTAGCTCGCGAATCGCGTGCGCCACGCGAAATCTCGCCTCTCGTCTAGGAAACGTTTCGCGGAGATCCTGTTACCGGATCCACGCGTTCACGCACGCACACGCATCGTCCATCTACGTACGTGCGTATGTAGGTATCGGGAAAGTAAACTACTGCTCGAGATTAATGGAACAGACTGCGTACGTGCGTGTATTTTTCTTTTTTCTCTTTGTCGTACGCGAGAATATTCGAACGCTTGCTGAGAGAGGAACATTCGTGTATATGAAAAAGATTTTTTGAAAATTTGATAATGAGACTTACGAGTGGGTAATTCGCAATTTTGCTGGGAAAATCTGAAAGTATAGATACGTTTGGAGCCTATTTGTTGCAAACAAATATACAGCAGGTATAATATATTTATGCAATATTAACATATTATAATTATCGTATAATTATAATATAATTATAGATAAGAATATATATCAATATAAAGACATATTCTCGTTTGAACTGATACTGAATATTCTTTATTAAAGAAAATACACGATAAGAAATAAAACACTGAGTCATCTGAATAATGTGAATCATTCTCGAAGAAAGAAACGACCGTGAAACTACTCTGATAAAATAGGACAATAAGAAATGATTGATAATAACAATACTTTACATTGATTGATTTACGAAACAAAAGAAGTGATTAATGATAACAATATATTACACGTTAGATCTGAATCACTATTTTACTTACATAAAAACAAAGAAGAAACAGGAACTTGCTAAATTTTTAAAAATCGTAATCGCTTTAAATTTGTCACTTGGATCGAAAACTAGAACTCTTGAACATTTCATACTAACAGCACGAATTCAATTAAAGTGTATTTAATTACTCTGAATTAAGGATAATTTAAGTAAAAATTGAATTGAGAACTTCTTTTAATTGCAATTTTTATTTGTGATTGCTGGCAGCGTGAAAACATATATAAAATGTTTAGAACATAGTGCCCCTCTTAACTAGTAGTTAAGTTTAGTAGCTAAAATAATTTTCTATTTAAATTATACTCGCAAAAATGTGAGTTTGCGTAAAAATCGACGGTCTAGCGACTAATTTTTAACTCTACAAAAATTTCCTAATGAATTTCATCGAAGAATTAAAGCGTTGGCGTAGTTCTTCGCCTACATTAAGAACTGGAGCTCTCGATCGGTAGACGTATTACTATCGTCAATACCGTTAGGTATTTCGTGTAACGTTTAAACGCGATCAATAGGACCCAGACGAAAAATCAGAGCTCGATACTCTCGCTACGAGATAAATGTGCCAGTTGTACGACATCCTTGTACGATACTTGGCGGCAAAGAATCGTAGTTCCTTCTACGTCGTGGAGAAATTAAAGAGAAATTAAAAATGTTAAGCACAAACACGATGCTAATTATATAATTATTACGCGTAATGTTACGTACGAAAAAAAGTTAAAGAATAGTCACGAGAAAAATTTTTTAACATTTTCTAGAGACGTTTGAATTTGTAAAACATTGAATAAAAAAAAATATATCTTCTGCTACGTGATGATGAAAAAAGATCTTTCAAAAAAAATGAAGAAAATCCAGAGTCGTCAAAGTAGAAGCTCACTTCAAATCATTCTTTTCTTATCTTTGTTTCATTAAAAATGTTTCACTAATATCCTCGATAATTCCATCATCGCCATTGTCATCAAATTAACACTAGAACTATCCAACTAATATTTGCACTCGAAATTTTACAAACTTAGAAAAAATCTGTAGAAAACAGCGTATTTTTACAGATTCAAATGATTTTCTTTCATACTCCATTACGTCATAAAGTTTCTTTCTTCATTTTTCTCCAATGTCTCCGAATCGAAATTTCACGCCTCGATCGTCCTTGTAGTTCCAGTCTTTCTGTCAATTTCTTTGAAAAACAATCTTGAAACTTTTGCACGAAACTGTACGACCATGATCATGTACGTACGTATCATACAGCGTGAAACGATGATCGTGAATTTGGCGAGTATTTGGGATTGTTTTGACCGACAGTCGGCCAATGATATCGCGATTCTTCGCGTATCGTGGACAAGGACCAGCAATTAGATGACGATCAAACCAGGGGAAAAGTGTGTCGAAGACTCGAGGGCTGTGCGAGAGAAACGGGTCAGATCGCTGCACCGTCCACCGTGTGTTTGTTATGTTTAACGGTTTTGTAACGTGGCGATTGACGCTCGAGCGTGTCGAGAATCGTTTCGATCCGATTAGCCGCCGCACGATCGCCACTTTCGTGCTTTTCTTGCCACGCGACTCGTAAATGCTGATCGCGTGAAAAATTCGGACGCCCGTTTCTCATCTTCGAGTTAGGATTGTCAGATCGTTGTCTCTCGTAGTGAATCGGTTGGTGATTCTTCCCGGTTGCGTTTGCTTTCTGACAGTAATTTATTTGAAAAAATGCCACTAGTAGTAGCAGACTAGTACTTTGGGTTTTACGTTTTCTGACAATTTTTTTTCTTTTTTTTTTTTAACATACAAGGTTGAGACATTCTTGTTTAAAGTAGCTATCGCCTTAATTAATAAAATCACTTTCCTCTCCAAACTCAAGTACATATTTTTCTCTGTATAATTTTCTGATATCAGAGTATTACAGACAAAGATTAAATTAAAATAAATTTACGATCGGATCGAATTTTCACGAGAATTTTGTAGAAAATTTTGAAATATGAAATTGCCCAAGATGCACATAAATATGTGATGTGCGAAATATATAAAAATGATCGAAAGACATTATCACGCGTCTGACTGTACCGTAATACTCTATTGGATCTGAGATCTCTTCGGCGATTACCAATCTTTAATTCACCAATCTTGATTGTAGCTAAATCTATATAACATGTATGTACTCACCGAGCATGATCCAGATCTCTCTTGTTGCCGAGCAACAGAGCAGTGAAATAGGATGGCAGACGTAAGTCAGCCAGTTGCTTTAGCAATCCACGAGCTTCTTGAAAACTTCGTTTACACGTCACGCTGTAAACCACAACGAAAGCCTCGCCCCATCGTATGTGAGAGTATAGACACCCATTTTCCTGAGAAAAAAAAAAAACAGAAACAAACGAAAAGTAAGTAAAGTTTAATTTTTGCTACGAAAATTAGATGCTACGTATATACGTATGTACATTATTTATCGTGTTTGAATCACGCGTTAAACTTCAGCTCAACTCGCGAACTTCGTTCGTCAGACCATTCTATTTCTCTAAAGTTCGTCAATGTGAAATTTTAGAAATTTTAGAAAGTTTGGGAAAAATGGCGAATAATGGGCGGCGACTTTTCTTACGTAAGCCACGGACGAAACTGGATCCATATAACTTCCATGGAATTGATTATAACAAGGAATAATGAGGGAAGTGGGGAGGGAGAAAAAAAATTCGATTTCACTCTCGACTCAGAAACGTTACAGTGCGATGATTCAGTATTGTTAGTTATAAAATTAATTACAGAAATCACACGGCATTATCTATCGATAACAGATCTGATCCAACTTTGCCAGCATGTTTTTCAAAAGAATTCTTAAAAAAATACATTTCTTCTTTCTTTTTTTATCAAGAAACGTAAGTAAGCCACGCACGGACCATTTTTTATGATTCCTTACGATCGAGTTTTCAATTTATCAAGAATTTACCTGTTTTTTTTTTTTTCCCCTCTATTAGTGATTTTTTATTCGTATAATGAGAATTTAGATTCGAACGAATAGACTGAGAATCAATCAACTGAGAAGTTTATCGACCAATACTTTTGCTCGAACAAATGGAACCTACGTTCCATCGAGTCTGAACGATCAAAACAACAAAAGGCGGCTGGCACACGGGGAAAAATAATTTCCTCTTCTCGCGTTCCACCAAAATCAGGTGGGATTTTTGCGTGAAACGGTGCCGCTTAATTAACACGTTGATCAACATTCCTGAACGAGCGGTTGGAAAGTGCCGATCTAGATCTCCGATGGGCGTGCGCGCGCGCGCGCGCGCGCAACCGTTTCACTTCGCTCTACCGGGGCACGTGTGTGCATCTGCACACGTGGAGACAAGAGAGAATTATAATCGAGCCTCCGAGAGAGGCACGCCGGCGATTCGGCGGCGATTAAACGCCAGCAAATTGCCCCGGCCCGCGCGATAATTGAAATAGAAACGGCCTGAAACCGGTACCCACCACGTGACCACGTTCTATTTTCGAGGCACGCTCGAGGCCTCACCTCTGACCTTCCGACCGATCGTCGATGGCTCGAAAACACTTCCGACCTGCTGCAGCGCGCCGCACGAGAGGAAGACAGTATTCTGAGCGGTTGCTTCCTTCTCGATTCCTCCGAGGATCGTGTCGTTTCGTCTCGAAAACGAGCTTTCGCTTTACAGAGTCTGTTAGGTAGGTTAATTCATCGATGATCGAGCAATCATTTGTCTCGATAGGGGCTGCAGGTTCGTATTTCCTTGAACATAATTGCCAAAAAGGAATTGAACTTGCGCCAAACTGTTGACGTAATAAACTTACATAATTTCGTCGAAAGAAAAAAAAAGAAAATGATGATTTAAAAAAAATAATAATAATAATAAGTCGCAGAATTCTCAAACAACCTCAGTTTCTTTCAAGTCTTAAACAACTATTTCACCTTTCTTTCACAGAATTTTCAAACAAGCCTGGTCTCTCTTCAGAAAATTCTCAAAAAACTCTGACGATCTCTTTTCACAGAATTCTCGAACGGCCGTGATTTCTTTTTAACAGAATTCCGAAATAAGCCTGGTGGTCTCTTTTCACAGAATTCTCAAACAACCGTGATCCCATAGCAAGCGGCGCACAGCAGCGAGAAGCATCGTTACAAGTTTAACGACCCGCGCGGAAGCTATCGATTCTCGTGGCTGTTGCAATGCTTTCCCATTGACCTAGCACTGACAGCCAGCCGATAATTATTACCCGGGAACAGGATCGACGGGATCGTGATCATCGACGACGATCCGCGCGTGTGTGTGTGTGTGTGTGTGTGTGTGTGTGTGTGTGTGCAGGAAAGAAGGGTCCAAGCGCGTTAATCTCGCGGGATCGACCGGAGGTGATCGTGGCCGTGAACCTTCCTGATCTGTTGAACCGTCAGCATTAGCGTCTGGTCACCATAATTGGCACGATCTCGAGGACGTCTGTCACAAGAGAAGAGAGGGATTTTTTGGCGGACCGGACGGACATCTGGCAGACCAGATCGAGGATACGATCATCCCTCTTGGGTGATTGATATGGGAAACGGAATGGAGGAGGAGTGTTTGCGAAACAGCCGTGATTGATCAAGAATGATCTTGACGTCTCAGATGTCTTTTGGAGATTAAATTTCGGAGATTTCTCGTCTCTGAGAATCATTGATTTTTGAATTCGCCGATTTATTGCTGGGCCATTATAGATCAAGTTTTGAAACTTTGTACATACGTTTGGTCTTGTGTATATACGTAATCTTGTTTCAAGATTATAAGCGGCGTAATTGTCGTGCAATTATCTTTGTTGTTGTTCGAAAGTTGTTTCGACGCGGTATATCATTTATGCTGTTTGAAAGAAAGAATCTGGAATAAAATTTGGGATATTGGCATTTGTTAGTCTAATGATATTAATTGGAACATTTGGGACGTTAGTATAATAATATCATGGGGTGCTATTACGTTAAATATTAATATTTGAGAGCATGGATCACAGAAGAAAAAGTGACAATTTTCACGAAATGGCGAAGAAGATGGTACATTGGTATAAAATTATAAAAATCATAAGACGAATCTATATCACATCTACTAGCTGAGTTGACGATCTTTGAAATTTCTGACAAAAGTCAGAAATATGTCCATTTTGGCCATTTTGATGGTTGCAGTGTTAAAAGAAGAAAAGATAAAAAATAAATCCGCGAGAAACGCGAAGGCAAGGTGCAATTAATTTGGACAACGTTTCAGCTTCCAGTCTTCGATGACTCACCCCGTCCACGTTTGACGATCAATCATGATCGAACATGGCTCGAGATAACACATGTAATTACGCAACGCCGTGTCGTTCACTTGCGAAATCGTCTCGCGCGCTGTTTGTCCCATGTGGCAATGCGTGCCGCCGTGTTCCGTAAATATTGAAATAAGCGATTCGCAAGGATTCCTGGAACGGTCGTGCAATTAATTATTATCGCGAAACGATTCATCGACAGGAGCAGAGATCGACTGGCCGGTTCGGTTGCCCGATGTTTGGGGGAACGCGGAGCGTTTCGCAAGGATTACCGGGAAAATTCAACGAGAACGTTTTCATCCGCTATCATTTTCAAACAGGTAATTCAATTCGAGGTTTGCTTGGACTTTGTCGTTAAATATTTACCACCGTCATCGTCACGAGTGCAACGTTCAAATTAAATCACATTGTTCCGTGTGATATTTTGCATTTTCGATTGTTGTTTCAAATGAAACAATGAACAAATAAATGTTCCAGGCAAATTTTGCTTGGGAGTTTAATAAACACTTCAAACCATAATAATTGCGGATAAGAGAATGTTGGAAATTAAGCGTGACAATCTGTGGAAAGCTCAATAGTTTTCTATACTCTGAGAAACATTCTTTTCTTTAGACTATATATTCGTATATATGGTGCATTTTATTTTATTAGGATCATCTTCACTGAGAATTTCGTTTATGGTTTAGTGAAATAATAATTCGCTGAAAGGGTTAAACATATTAAAGTTAAATACTGTGTACTTTTATACACTTTTATACACTTGAATAATGGAACAACAAAAGATAAGAGACTAAAGCCAGATGAAAAAAAAAAAATGAATTTATTTAATGATATTTGATAAATATAATACATTAATTACAAAATTGAATTTTTTTCATATCAATTGTGCGCATTGTGTGCACTCTTCTAAAAATTCCTCTAAATTATAACCAGAAATCTATTTATCATTCAATCTGCCTCTAAAGAATCACACTCGCAAATCACACGACTAATAACGATCCGCAAGTAATTACCAAATCGAAGTGTGTAACTGTAAACAATTACACACACACACACACACACACGCACGCATAGAAATCCTTGCAAGCCTCGCTGTTTCGCGTGTGTAGAGAGACACGAAGGAATCGTAAAGTCGATCGTCCTGACGAAACGCGATCGACGTCGCTGCTTTTTGTTTTCTTTTTTTTTTTTTTTCTTTTGTTTTAACCGCGGCTGACCGTTAACAGGACACTCGAACAGAACGGAACGATCGAGAGACAGCGGCTCGTTGTCCATTTGAAAATCTCGACTCGAGTGGGCGGAAGAACCGCGCGCGCTTCAACACCCACGCGATCCCGCGGGATAAGCAACGATCGCCCGGGACAAGTTATGTCCACCGTCGCGGAGATAACGATCCGCCGCTATTCGCGCGGCCAGATACCGATACTGTCTGCTAATAACGCGGCCCTCGATTACAGGGACTCCGGCTTCGCGACCTCTCCGCGAGGGATTCCCCTTTCTGCAGTTCCGTACGTACGCAACGGTTCAATTCCGGTTCATCCTGAATCTCGCGTGACTTTTCTTTTTCCCCTTCTTTTTTTAGGAGAGAGAGAGAGAGAGGGGGGGGGGGGCGAAATTTTTCTTGTCGATGGTACATTTAACGTCGAACGATGAAGCTACAGGTGTACAATTAACGTTGACGATTGTTTGATGATGATAGCAAGGGGATCGGTCCATTAGCTTGGCGAGTCGTAAAAAAATTGGAGGAAGTTTATTTAAATTTAACCCTAGTGTAGGTAGTAATTATGTTGATATTTCTGCCGAAAACTTTTACTATCCGATGAAAGTATCCCCCACTTTTATTCCATATTTTGTAAATTATTTATATCGTATAAAATAAAATTATAGATTGTACAAAGTAGGTACTCGTGTTTTCATATTTCTATAAATTTCTCAAGTTTGTGGGAAAATTTCGAACATTGCAATGACTTTGCTAAAAATTTAAGTGCTTATTTGATATTCGATTTATTTTATATTTTATACTCGATTTTGAATGTCAAAATTATTAAGTTGCTCGGTTAATTGATATTAAAGTTAGTTT